TAGGGCTGCGGCACCGGCACCTTCACCGGCACGGGTATGTGCTTCTCCACCGTGTACGGCTGCGGCACGTATACCTTCACCTCGTAGGGCTTGTCCACGGGCACCTTCACCTCGTACGGCACCTTCTTCTCCACGGTGTACGGCTGCGGCACCGGCACCGGCACTTTGACGAACACCTTCACCGGGTAGGGCACGTGCTTCTCCACGGTGTAGGGCTGCGGCACGCCGACCTTAACCTCGTACGGCACATGCTTCTCCACCAGATAGGGCACGTGCTTCGTTACTTCGTACGGCACGGGCACTTTCTTCACGACTGTCACGGTCTTCACGTGCTCGTGCTCATCGCCGTAGCCGCCGCCGCCGCCGCCGCCGCCGCCGCCTCCGCCGCCGTGCAAATCAACGCCGCCGCCGCCCAAGTCACCGAAACTGTGATGGAGCCCGCGTTTTTCCGTCTTCTTCTCTGTTGATTCCGCCTTGACATCCTGCGAACTCTTCTCCGTTTGCTTTGAGATCTTGGCGCATAAAACTTGGCTGGCCACCGCCACCAAAATGATGGCAACCTAAAGTTACGTCGGAGATATTTATTAATTCCCTGTTACACTATTTTCCCAGATAAACTTGTGCACGTTAGTAATATTTTATTAATAGTAACAGATGATGATAAAAAAAACATTGATTTCGAACGAGAACGAGCTTGTAGGCGAACGAAGCGAAATTCCATAAATACGATAATTTAAATTTCATGCCGATATTAGTGCGATATCTAATCTCACATCGATCGTATCGATAAATTAACTCACCTTAATATTCATTCTCCAGATCACGTATGTTTTAGCGTGGCGTATGACCACCAACTGAACCGCCTCGTTTTCTAAGCTGAGCCTTATATACCCCGCGCTATAATAGCTTAGCACTTTCCCTGCACCTCGTCGCTTGTATTATCCGTATGTAGTCTTGTTTCACGTACACTGGCAAAAAGCCACCTGGGCGAGTTCAGGAAATGGACACGCATGCCAATTTGTTCCGCGACAGCCTAAAGTTCGGCCTGCTCGACCTACTCAAATTCGTAATGTTAAATATCCGCTAATATGCAACTCATCGCAAGGAATTGACTTTCTTTCTCGATGCAAATCATACAGATGTGCGTAGGCATTATTAACGTTTGCACAATTTTTCTTCTGTGCCTTATTTAAAAGAACAATTTTTATCCTCCAATTTTTTTAAATTAGACGAATTTGACAGAAGCTATTTCTTTCTTTTTTTCGATCTTTACAGAGAGAATAGAATATATATAATTATATATGCTAATTTTTATATATAATAATTTTTTATACATAATAATTATATAATAATTACAATATCATAACACATTTAAAAAAAATTAATTGAAAGATAACGGTGGACAAAACTATTGTAGATATCGATTAGTAAATGTCAATTATTTTTATTATAACAGAAATCATACAAATATATAAAAAAGTGGATTTTAAAAAAAAAATAATGAAAAAATATAACATCTGCGATAGTCTGCGAACGTGGATTTATTTCCACTATTACACTTATTTACACTATTACTATATACAACAATTACTCTCTCTTTTTACACTTATCGTAGGTGAAATAAAATATATTAAATTTCTACGTTACTCTGATATGAACAGTCGATTGCGAAGTAAATGGAGGAAGTTAACGTCCGCGGCGAGTTATGGTCGGCGAATGTGCAACACCGTGATTTCCGTCTTTGCTTACAAAAATTGGAAGCCACCATGTGCGACGCGTCGCTAGAGGCGAATCCAGCGCGGTATCCTTGTACCTGCGCCGCGCTTTTTCACGGTTGATCACCGGTGAGAGCTCATAACGCCAAGTGGGAGACTTACAATTTCACGGAAATCGTTTGCCAGTATATTTTCACGCTGCTTCGTTTATACGGACATCGGTCAAATCAATTAATTGCTCGTTATGTACGCTGATTACGGTATTTGCGTTATTTCGTCGCGCTCCATTAGGCTTTATATGTTACCAATCGCTTGCATATGCCGTAATCGTCAACGGGTTTATAGTCCATAATTTGCGTGTCAGTTTAATATATTATTTTCATCAATTCTTTTCCACCGATAAGATACGTTTTTTTTTTCTTTTCCTTACGATTATTCGTTCTCGTGAACTGTCGAAAATATGTCATCTTGCGCTCTATGCGATTTTAGGCATGACGTCACCGTCATTAACGTTATCACTCGATGCCATTTGTCCCGGCTTGCAATCTGAGCTTTCGCGCTAACCGTATCGACGGCGCACGAGACTGCTCATTACGCGCGTGTAATTACTGTAGAAATCCAAGTAAAGCTGTGCGAATAGTGCCGCGCGCTTGCTATAAGCGCGAGCTTCGCATGCGGAATACCTAATGCCGTATGTTAATACGGTCGCTCGCATGCGCGCCGCACATTTCGATCGTGGATCAAGATAGACCGCAATTTTTAACGATTAATCGCCGCTCAAGCATCCCCGAGGGTCGTACCCGCTTCGCGGGCGAATGCTCGTTACACGCAGACCTTCCGCCTCGTTATTCGTGTCCCTTCCGATAAATATTACGGTAAAGATGATAAATACACCGGACGGGGCCGCTATTCGGCCACCTTTCATTGATCTATAATGACATTAATTAAGTTTGCATTAACCAAAATTGAGGCGCGACTCAATACAAGCGATATGTGAGAAAATTACGCAATTGACATTGTAAACGAGGCGCATTACGCTTCCGTGATCGTTTGAGATCTCGGAAATTAAGATAGGAGAAATTAATGCCGCGATACATATCTTAAGATACTTTTAAAAATCTTTTAAGAATATATTCAGATATTTATCAGTTTTCATCGGAATGCGAGTCTGAGATTTCTTCTTTGATAAAAAGCAATGCATTAATTTCGGCCGATGAAAGTTATTATTTTGATGAAAGGTTAATTGTTATAAATTTTAATTAGCATCAGTCGGGACGAATATGTGTACTACGCTTGCGAATTTCGCAACCACGGTTAATGCGCGCAATTATCTCATCGGAAGACGTTCACTTCTCTTTCTCTCTTTCTTTCTTTCACGATTATTACGTTTCAGTGCGGTACATTGTCTCGACAAGACCCGCGGTAGAACGTTCGTTAATAAGCTTGCACTTTCTCTCTCTTTCTCTCTCTCTCTCTCTTTCTTTCTTCCAATCATCTTTTTCTCTCTCTCGCAGGGGATATTCCATCGCTACCGGCGCGCAAATTACTCGGTAGCGATGGCCGCCGCCGCCGGGCGTTTCGTGGCTTTTAATTGACGACGGACGAAATGAAGTATCATGCCGTGCATTATAATTGGAAACTTTTATGTTGCGTGCGCGGCCACGGCGCGGCCGGGCCTACCGAGGCGTGAATCCGAGCGAGAAGCGTGCATTTTCTACGACGCGCCTCGCGTTCTTTTCTTTTCTTCTGCCATGTTTTTTTTATAAATATTTTTTTTACCCGGATTCGGTCGTGTGCTCTTGAACAAAATATTGCGATCGCGTAAGTCTCGCGGTGAACATGAATAGCAAATCTGTTAAGGCTCACACGCGAGCCGCGTGTCCTTCCTGTCAGTGGCTTCTTTTATTAATTGCTAACCGGTTATTAACAACCGACTTCTCACGCACGCGGCGCACTCGCGTCGCGTGTTTTCCGATGCGGCTTAACGAAACCTGTTCTTCTTTTTCCGCGTATCGGTAACATACGCAAAGTCGCCTCGTCCATAATAATCGTAATACGTCTAACGAGGTGCTCGATGGAAAAGTGAAAGGAAGCACGCGCGCGACGCGACTTTCCCCAAAATTTGACGACGTGTAGTACATCCGTGCAGCCGACGGGTGTACGTGGTCAGCTCGCCGGTAGTTGCACACTTAATGTCCCGCCGGCACGAACTCCGCGAGTTTGGAGGGAAGCGGCGTGTGACTGATTCGCACGCGTAATATACGCGGGGCTTCGCTGGCCGTGGGCGTTATTAATCATCTTTTTCGGCGTTGTTACGGGCGGGGCGCCTCCCGGAATTTCTGCTCGGAAGCTGCGCCCGGCAGAGAGTAATAACAACATCAAGGCACCGCGTCGTAAAGCGAGCTCTTCCGCCGTATGATTTAATTGGCGGGATACGCGAGTACGGATAAAAAAAAAAAAGAGTATGATATATCCGGCGAGAATCGCGCGCTGATAAAAGTGCGTCTTCCGTTCGCTGGGCTTTATAACTACCGGCCTCGGCGCCGAGAGAGGGATAACGCGACTATAATCGCGCGATCCTCGAGAATCGTAATGCCGCGCGCTCGGACTGGCCTGGTAACCGTCATTTTACTGCACACCGGCGTAATATCAGCGTTCTGCTTCGACAATGTTGATGATGGATTAATCAGTCAATCGGTCGTTACGTTAGAAATGTAATCGCCGATCATCACTACGCTATTATCGAAAATGCGAACACGGTGCGGAAGTAAGAGGGACGATGGTCGCGCGTAACGATAATTGAACGTCACACGGTTGTCGCGAACGCATTGGTGAAAATTCACTGCCCCTCGTTGTGAAAAGCCGTGTGCCGCACCTGCGGCGACGGGGTCGCCGAAAGGTGAGCGCACCTGCGCGGTTCCGGGAAGACTTTTCGGTCGACGACGCATTACGACGATGATGACGCGAGATGCCGATGCCGAGAGGAAGGCCCTTTAGCGAACGAGCGAGCGAGTGATGATGTAACTTTAATTGCGTTCTAACTACCGTGCAATTGGACAACGGCCGCGGCATAGCCTGCAGTTTCGACTGTATCCCATTAAGACATTGCCGCGGCTAATGCGATGACTGAGTGACTTTAGTGAGCCTAAAGCTTCGCTTTTCCCAAACGCGCAATTTACGACAGCGGATCGTAGAGATTGATCTATTGTGATCCCGCGGCGTCCGATAACCCGAATTTACACACAAGCTTGCTTCGTGCTGGAACATTTTTTTTAGAATCATTGCGATTTCCCGGTCTTACATATAAAATGTCGATGAATATCATATTCGGAAGTAATGCGTTCGATCGAAGAAAGCTGACTCGTTACAAGCGCGAGTCGAATATCGCGAGTGCTTCTCAAGTGGGTAGCGCGCGCGTTACGTTCCTTCGACAGGATAGTCACGGAGATTTCACTTCGGCGCACATATGCGCGACGCGCGAGCACATTCGCCTCGCCGATTCTTTTTTTTTTTTTTTCTCGTCTTCTCGCATCGAAGAGTAGATGAAAGTGCACGCTTAACTCGAATCGCACAAATCACGCCGGATTCGTCGACAACGAGTCCCCGGCTGCGCGCATTGCGACATGTTGTTAACAAATTGAGATGATGACGGAAAATCGTTGTCGTAGTATGATTAATAGCGCGCGCTTGACAAGACGACTCTTGAAAAATTTTCCCCTATTTCTCATTGGAGCGTCTCTATTTTATTTCGCGATTTCACGTGTAATTGTCGGCGAGGAACCGTTTTCACAACGATTTTCACAACAGATTTCGCAACATGCGTTTCGTAATATTATGATTACGGGAAAACGGTATGTAAAATTAACCAATTTCACAATTTATATGACGCATAAACCGTATTTCATGTATTTACTTTTCAAAGAGAGATTCTTCCGATTGGTTTCGAGAGAGTAGATCTCTCGAAATAATAATCATCTAGACTTTCTCCGACGGTCGGCGCTAATGCCGAAAATTCGCCGCGCATTCTCGCACGGGCGGGCCGCCGAAGTTCGGGGCCCGTTATTTGTTGCGGGCAACGATTATCGCGTTCGGCGGCACATGTAATTTGAGCCGTATTACGCGCGCGTCGACAACGTGTCGCGATTATGTCGTACCTCCGACGAACGGCGCGGTCGGTCATATCGGCACGACTTCGGCC